CCCCAAAACCCCAAAACCCCAAAACCCCAAGGGACCTTTAATATTTCATTTCTATCATAAATTAAAAATAGAAAAAATGATAAAAAATTTCAAAAATCCAAGAATTACAAGTCTAATGGCCTCTATAGAATTTAGACATCCTTACTTGTTATTTATAAAATAGCATCCAATACTAGATGATCCTAATGACCGTAGGCTAAACTATAAAGAATAAGATTAATATACTTGCTGTATTTGCTACTAAGCAGTGAGTGATCCAAGACAATGTTCTAAGTGCAACATTATTTTCTGTTCTTTTTGTAAGATTGAGATGGCTCAATTTTTGCTTGGTTGCCCTAATCATGCTTGTAGTGACTCATCCTACAAAAGACCAAGTCTTGATTATTTAAATAGATACAAAAAACTAGTCGTGAGATGTCAGAATATAGAATGTGATAAACAATTTCCTATTGAGAATGAAAAGTAGTATATTGATCATTTTAGAAGATGTGAATATACTCCGAAAATGTGCCAGCATTGCAATTAATTCCCGATTAGGTAGAAACTACTTTAGCAGCATCATGAAAAAGAGTGCAGAATGATTCCAAGAACATGTTAGACATGCACACTTTAATATAAATAAACTGAGAATCATGATTGTATAGTCTCTTTGGCAAGAATTGTAGATAACTTAGAAAAGAATACAAGAGTAAACTAGATAAAGATCAATCAATTTCTGGAAGAATTAGAGAGAGATCGCAACATGAATATGCTCTGAGAATTTGATTGTCTTGTCTTATAATTATTAATCACATAAATTAAATTTCTCAAAATAGTAAAGTGGCTTTATCTTGAAAATATGATTTGCTTAATAGTAGAATATTTATTAATTTGTCTTAAAACAGATTTTTCATATTAATATTTATATTGCTATGAATTCTAATATTTATTTTTAAATTGCATTTAATATTAATGGGATCAAAATGTAGCTTTTGTGGAGATTCTTCTAGAGTTGGAGGATAGTAAACTTACCCAATACCCAGAGCTAAATACAAGAAAAATATAGGGGCAACTACCTAAGCAAGTCCTATGATAGACCCACTTATTCCTGCAAGAAGCACCTTCGCTATGAAAAAGCAAATGCCTTTCTCTTATCCTGCAGAATTGACTGAGAATTCTATGGATTATCAAATCTATGAAATGCTTCCACAGGAAATTTCTAATATCAATCTAGTGATAAACTCAATAAGTGAATAGAGGCCTACTAATAGAGAGATTAAAGAACATAAAGAGCATTTGCTGATGATATAAAGCCAGTTGCACACCTAGTTAACCCTACTTTATGAACGCCAGCTTAAGGCCGTAAATCAGCTATGCTTTGGAGTCGTGGGGAATGAAATTAACATCATAAACAAAATAGACATTAGCTCCTTCATAACGAATATAAGAAGCACTAATAAGTCAAAAAATTAAACAGTGAATAAATCGTTCACGAATCTTACTAAATGGAACAAAATAGTGATGGAAGTTGATAGTATTAAGATATACAATAAAAAATTAAATTTTATTGGGATAAGAGTAGTAATTCCTCGTGAGGTAGCTCCAGATAATCATAATATATATTATGCAAGGCCCTTTAAGGTTATTGACTCAAGTTCTCAAAAAGAGACATTTATATTACTCTTTAGAGATGATGCTTCTACAAAAGACAAAAAATTTACTTTGAGCCTCTGTGAGTTTAATAAAAATGGAAAATATCTTAGAGATGTTGGAACAAGTTATACATTCATGATTGAACAGCTTCCTGAGGGGAGGATAGGAGAAAAATAAGTCCTCATTTACCCACAAAAATCTCCATAATAGAGTAACATTTAGATAAGGAAAATAGCAAAGCTTTCTTACGAAGAAGATAGTGTAGACATTTAGGAAAAGAGAAATTAGCATACAATAGCTAAATTGAATTTAAAAATTCAGTTTATTAAGGATGAAGAAACTAAAATTTCTGAACTAATTTCTTCGCTGAACTAAAAACTTGAGGAAGTTTAAGATGCAATAGAAAATTTGTAAATATATGAGCATCCAATTATTGATAATTCTGTCGAAGTTTATTAACAGCTGTATCTGAATCAATCATCTTCTCAACAAACACTTGGAGGGTAGAGTAAACAGACATCTTCAGGTTAACCAAATGATGAAACTAAAAGTGGTAGAAGAACTAGGAATTTGGATGCTACAAGTCAAGGTTCAAGTAATCACACCAATCTGAGGATTGATACTGTAGCAAGATAAGACACCTAGGCGACATCTGGACCTAATACATTTGAGAAAAACAGAAGACCATAGATTTAGTTCGTTGGTGTCTATGATTCTCCGGCTTAAATATTCGATGAGAATGAAAACTCTCCAAAAAGTCTAGAGTAATATAATCAAGATAATATGCTTAAAAATAAAATGTCATTGACAAGTAAGAAAGTAGTAAAGGTTCATCATAGACAGATTAGCAACACAACATATAAGAAAACATAAAAGAATATTGATGAAGCTAATCTGCTTAATCAATCAAGAGAAACTGTTGTTCCAAGATATATAGGTTTTAGTTAAGAATCAAATTAGAAGTTAGGATTACATGTGAAAAACAACAGTTCTCAAGAAGCAGGATTTTATGTAGCATAGCATGATTTAAAGAGTAATAAATTCGGAGATTTGCCAATATTTTGAAATGACAAACTCTTTCATTTGAATTACAAGCGATCACTCGAAAGATCACAAACCTTTGTCTCTTAAATATTTTTAGTATTAATGAAGTAAAGTTTACTATTCCTTAGTATTTTATTTGATTTAATAAATTATAAAACATATTGATATCAGACTTTAATTAATCTAATTACATAAAATGGATTGGCAGGACATTATTATAGAAAGACCTAAATATCTCTTCAAGACAGGGTATCTATTCAACTGATTATTTATTAATTCTTTAGAAAGAAGGCAAGTTTTACAAGATCGAGAAAGAATTCATTAGCTGATGATTCTCTTACACCTGTAGCCTCTCATAAGCCAAGGAATATTGGATCAGATTACAACTAAAAGAAAAGAGGCATGCTGCCTGATATAAATTAATAAGATGGGAAATCCAAGAAATTTCTTGATAATTATGATGGAATGACCTAATCTTTCGATGGTTCAAATGAAAAGACAAAGCACTCTAAAATGAAGCTGAGTGATCTGCAATCAAATTAAAATCATAGGTTCATTGCTGATCGAAATGCTAGAAAGAAGTAATTTAGCACAGTTCTCAATTCCCCTTCACAATCTAATGTAAGATCTAGCAATAATAATAAAGAAGATGATGTTCTTTTAAAAGAAGGGGAAAGAGACTAACCTAATTTGAATTTCAGTAAAAATCATAACAAAAATTCAAGCCTTAATCAGCATAATGGATTTAGAAGTTCTTTTCATTCAGGCTTTAACTCTTCAATTGCATCATAATCCCAGACACTACTAAAGAGTCTGGACAAAGAGTATGATCAAAGCTTGATAGGTCCAGGAAGTTATGAAGGTGCCCATTGGTCTACTTTTGAGATGATTGCTTAGAAAAAAGATAGCAAGATTCACAAGAATAAGCCATGCTTTACATTTGGCACTGCAAAGAAAGCAAACGAAAAATAATTTTTAAGTCGAGAGTAATGGCGATAAGTAAGTATATCTATTTTCTTAAATAAATTTAGGAAAATCTACTGGCTTAAAGTCCTCCAGTTGGATTATACGATCCTGATATTTCGAAAGTTAAGAGAAATGCAGTTCCTGATATATCTATAAGTGAAAATACTAAGCGATTTGATGAGTACAGTTTCAAAAAGAAGGTTGAGAATTCATCACCTGTATTCTACGGCTTTAATGATCCTAGAGATTTCAATTATATTGATAAGCATAAGCACTATAATGTATAATTTTGTCTCTTTGTGAATAGCTTTAGTCAACTATTGGAAATGGCAAAAGACTGGGATTCCCAAATTAAAGACATCAACATGATATTGTGCCCTCTCCCGATAAATACAATCATAAAACCGTATTTGAATTAAACTAAAACGTAGGCTATTTGATTGACAAACCTAGAGAAAAATTCCTCGAGAAAGTAGAAAGTTCAAAAAAACTGGGAGAGATTAGTACAATATCATAAAGACAAATGGAAGAATCAACAAGAGGACCAGGCTTATATCCTGTACACAAGATTGAAAAAGGGCTCTTATCTCAAAGTCAATCACTAAGGGTCTTTTCTTTTGATAAAGCTGAGAGGGATTTTAAATACTAAAAACTTGAAGATAAGATGTTTAGCGTGGGACCAGGTTAATATTTTGAATAATAAACTACTTAATAAAATTGGAGTAAGAATGGTTTCCCACCTAGCAAAGGAGACTTCCCATAGCAACCTAAAGAGTTTGATATAAGGAAGGTAAAACTAATGTCTTGCTAATCGATTTATTTTAGTTTGAACAAAGAATGCAGATTGAAAGACTAAGAAATCAAAGGTCTTATATTTGAAAGGAAAAAACTTTTATAATTGGATTAAAAAAATCAAAATTTTTCAATTGCACTCAGCACTTGCGTTGGGGTTTTGGGGTTTTGGGGTTTTGGGG